GTATCACCTTGTTTACAGTATTGAAATATATCGGGATATATCGTATTGTGACCCCTCTGTCATGATATGTATCGCCAAACTCTTGCCAATACACAGCCCTACATTTTAAGCTGAGAAAGAATGGCGTCATCAGTTTCAGTCAAACATTTTAAATGACTTGTGATCACAGTGTGAGGTCTTACAGTAGGGGTGTCAAACTCCTGTCCTCGAGGGCTGCTATCCTGCATGTTTTAGAGGTTTTCTTGCTCCAACACACCTGATTTTGATCGCTGGGTGATTAACAGGCTTGTGTCCAATTTGAAGAGTTAATTCAATCACTGAATCAGGTGTGTTGGAGCTGGAAAACCTCTAAAACATGCAGGATAGCGGCCCTCGAGGACTGGAGTTTGACACCCCTGTTACAGGATGTGTTTGTGTTCACAAAATATGTTACGAACTCTCTGCAACTACCACAACAAACAGTTCAGTAAGTGTAAAATAAAACGATTTTGTTGTTTTTGTGTTGATTCTAAAAGTTTGAGATAAGATGTATAAGTGACGATAAATCTGTCCAGTGGTTCATAAGACATTTTACCATTAAACACACAATCACACATACAGAAAAGAACAAAAACATGATCGCCCTTTCACCAATTATTCAAACACAAAACATGAAACAACACTACTGATTGAAATGTAGACGTACGTCATTCCTAGAGGCAGCCGCTCTGTGCAATGGGGTCAACCATATRTGGTCTTTAGCATTGACACTGGCACCTGACAAAAAACAAAAATAATAAAAATTATCAGAAGAAAAAAGCATGCTGCAGATCTCCAATGTTATACAACTGACATGCACAATGAGGGGCCTGTGTGTGTGTGTTGTCAGGATGACAAACAGCAACCAGATATGTGCAACAACACACTCACCTGATTCAATGAGGAGCTCCATTATATGGACATCACCCACACAGGCAGCAGCATGAAGAGGCGTGCGGCGCTCCTGGTCCTGTCAAACACACGCAACCACTTAGACTGACCTTCAGCTTTTAGGTTTTAATTAAATGTATCCAATCATACCAGTGCATTGGCGTCTTCCTTTTTGTGCAACAACAGCTGAACTTCTTCAGTATTACGACTGAAGATGGCCTGGACCAGAGGAGGCTGCAAGACACAAATATCAGTTGAACTGCTGCTAATTTCCAGACCGATCGGATACAATCGTCATGTCACTTCTCCAATTTACTCGCGCCTGTCAAATAATTTACATTTATAATCTAGGTAAATTATTATAAACACGTTTAGGGGGGTAAAAGTTTTAAAAAATTGTTTAGAGCAATAAATTGAACCCTTTTTTTCTCTCCAGTACTTACACGAAGCCCAGTAGGCTGAGGCCTACAGGCCCGTGTCTTAGTACTTACGTCAGCTAGCCAAATGAGCTGGCCCTGACCCAAACTCCGGTCCAACATACACCGCCAAGAACGCGAACATTACCGCCCGAAACGCCAACAATCACAAACTAAGAGAAAATCTAACACCGTGAGCAGGATATCTACAAAAAATAAGCATGCATCGCAAATTAGCACGACAATGTTCGGTGAATACGTAGCATGTTGCGCAGTAGAGTTAAGAGCAAATCCAGCAAATAGACTGCGCCACGGCGGCGCAAACAGAGCGTTTTCTTTCGGCGTTACCTGGTCTGCAATGTTAAGTACTCCCATCTCCCAAACTCAACCGGGACGGAGCTCCTTCATGAGGATTAAACTTCGAGGTAAACTGCGGTGCGCTACTATATCCACCTCTCAGACAACACCCATAACTAAAACGCAAAAGAGGAATGCGGTCTCTGCCTATCACTGTTGTTGTCTATTTCCAGTGTCTGCTCTCTGACGACGCTGGGCTACGACTGTGTGCTGGTCCGCCTACAGGCGTGGCGGTCTGCTCCCGTCAACGCGAGGGAAATGTCGACACCGTGTGGCAGGAAGTTGTAATGCACCCTGTTTACGCTTTAAGAAGATCTGCTGGCAGACAAATTTACCAGCTTTGGAAATGGAGTTCTGTTGATAAATTATAAACAATATCTTACCTGTTATAGATAACACTTTAGAAGAGAAAAATAAATGTCAAGAGTGGCATATTAACAGCAGAGTTGTAAAGTAACTAAATACAAATACTTTTTTACTGTAGAATTTTGGGGTATTTATCCTTGAGTAATTCTTTTTTAGCCTACTTTTTACTTCTACTTCTTACATTTTCACACAATTATCTGTACTTTCTACTCCTTACATAAGATGTTACTTTTATTTCATGTTTGCTTGTTTTCATTCCAGTTTGTTATTTAAAAAAATTATTGTGCCTCCCAGGTTTCATATATATATATA